AAGTTTTATTTTGTTTTTAGTTGATGCATGATAATTGAGCATATTTATGGAATATAGTGTGATATTTCTGAACATATGAAATACATTGTGTAATGATCAAATTAGGGCTTTTAGTATATCTATCACCTTAAACATTTATTATTTCTTTGTAAGTAAAACATTCAAAACCCCCTCATGGCTATTTTGAAACACACAATTTAATATTGTTAACTATAGTCAGTCACACTACTGTGCAATAGAACCCCAAAATTTATTCCTCTATTTAACTGTAACTTTGTACTGATTGACCTGTCTCTCTACATTCTCCCAATTTCCAGGCCTCTTCTAACCACAATTCTTCTCTGTACCTCTATGAGATTAGCTCTATTAAATTCCATAAATGAGTGATATTAGGCCGTGTTTGTCCTTCTATGCCTGGTTTATTTTCCTGAACAAAGTTCATCAATGTTGCTACAAATAACTATATTTTCTCCTTTTTATAGCCAAATACTGTTCAGTTGTATTTTATACCATATTTTCTTTATCTGGTTATTTGTTGATGGGACAATGAGATTGATTCTATATTTTAGCTATTGTGACTAGTATTGCAAAAAGCATGAGAACATGAGAGTGCATGTATTTCTTCAACATTTTTATTTAATTCATCAGAGAAATGCAAATCAAAACTACAATGAAATATCACCTCACCCTAATTAGAATAGCTATTACTAAAAGGACCAAAAATTTAAAAATGCATGTGTGAAGATGGAGAAATAGGAATCATTAGTCACTGTTCTGACCTATACAAATTTCTTCTTTCTGAAGAATTCCTTAAGCATTTCTTTTAGACCAGTCTTCTGGTAACAAATTTTCTCAATTTTTGCCTGTAGTTCTTTACTTTTGAGGGATAATCTCACTGATACAAAATGCTAGGTTGATGGTTTCACTTATATTTTTCCAATGCTTTAAATATGTCACTACACTTTTTCTTGCTTGTATGGTTTCTAAATATAAATCTTTGTAATTCTCATCCACATTCCCTGATAAATAAGATCTTATAGGTAAGATCAGTGTTTCTTTCCCCTCCTGGTTTCTTTGAAGTTTTTCTTTTTGTCTAGTTTTTTGCTGTTTGAATAGGAGATGTCTGGTGTAGACTTAATAATATTTATCCTACTTAACATACACTGAGATTCTTGGGTTTGTGGTTTAATGTCTGACATTAATTCTGGAGAATTCTCTTCCAATATTATTTCAATTATTTTCTTCTGTTCCTTTCTTTCTTCTCTTTCAGTATTTTCATTATGCATATGTTACATCTTTTATAACTATATCACAATTCATCTCTATTCTGTTCCATTTTTTCCATTCCATTTTCTCTTTATATTTCAGTTTGGACAATTCCATTTAACACAGATCCAAGACCAATAATTTTTTCCTCTGTTATGTGCAGTCAACTGATGAGCCCATGAAAAAGTACTCTTTATTTCTGTTACAGTGCATTCTTTAGACTTTTCTTTTGATTCCTTCTTAGAGTTTTCATCTCTCTGCTTTCACTACCCATCTGTTTTGCCTATTGTCCACTATTTCCATAAAATCTCTTAGCATATTTATCACAGTTGTTTTAAATTCTCAGTCTGATGATTTCAACACCCCCACTACATCTGACTATGATTCTGTTGCTTGTTTTGTCTCTGAAGACTTTATAGTGTCTTTCAGCATGCCTTATTTTTTGTTGAAAGCCAGACACGACATATTGGGTAATAGGAACTGAGGCAAACAGATTTTAGTGTGAAGTTTTAAAGTGTGGTTTAATGTGAGGTTTTATGTTTATCCGGCTAGGAGCTACACTGTTTACTGTTTGCTGTGGCTGTAGTTATCTGAGGCTTCATTCAATTTCCTCTACTCATTTGTCTCCCCTGTTGTCCTTGCATTTCTCTAGAAAATCTCCTAAATAGAGTCTGAGTTTTGCATTTCTTTCTGCAGTAATCCTTTATTATTATATAGAGAATTTATTGATGTGATAGTAAGGCTGGGAGGAGAAAAAACATTCTGTGTTGCTATGATTTGGTCTCAATTTTTAATTGTGCCTATTTCCTGAGGTTAGGACCTTCGCAAGTGCTTCTCAACCCTTTTAACCCTCTAGGGGAGGCCAGAAGCCTAGCAGGGACAAGAGGAGACTAGAATTGGGTCATTCCCTTCCTCCAACATTGTTTAGGGTGTAGGACAGCAGTGTTCTGAGGACAAGCAGAGCACAGAAAGCTCTGGGTTATATTTCAGAATGGTTACTTTGTCCTCCTCCTGTCTGAAGGTTTGGGTAATTTTTTCTGATCTTCACCATGAGAATCTGTAGGATTTCTAGAGGTAAAATGCAGGTAAGTGTGGGGACACTTCTAAGACTGGGCCCTCAGGAGTTTGGATCTTTCAGGTGAGTCTATCATCTGCCTCCCGCAAGTCATCATTTACCACTTCTGTTCCTACCAATATATACACACACAACCTTCTAGCTCCAACAGCTTCTGCTCAAGGCAGATTACAATTCTTTTCTCACCTCTCCAATTTTTAAGGGGTCAGATTGTCACATGACCTCAATTCTCTAACAGGTCTAAGAATAGATTTTGTTTTTCAATTTCTTTAGTTTTTACTTGTTTTGAGGATGAGAGTGCTAACCTCCAAACATTTTATCTCCTGGAGATTAAAACAATGCTTTTTTAAGATAAATAGGTAAATAAGATAAATAGATAAACAACTTAGTATGTAAATTCATTGAATTGAAAATGTTTGCCAGGCTGTCTGTCCCTCTAGAGATAGCCCACATTCTCCCTTAAATGTATATTTGACCTTCACTGTTGCCTGTCACTTTTTCTTCTTTTTTTGTAATATTGATGACATCCATGTAACATTTGAGATATTTCTGAACTGTGTTAATGGTTAAAATCACATGAAAATTTGTGTCCTAGTGAAAAAGAAAAAAAAAATGTTAGCCATTTCGGCACCTTTCATATTCAATGGCTCTTCTCTCAACATAAAATAGTAACCAGAGATAATCAAACCATGCAGTGGAGACAGAAAAAAACTCAGAAACAACACCAGGGCTAAAATCACCTTGGGTTTGCTGTATTGCCTCCTCTTCCCTCTTCCTGCCGGCCATACCCTCTCCCATGCCTTTCGTATTCGATTCCTCTTCTCATCCAGCAGTGCCCTGTGTTCCCTCCTCTTTAAACCATTTCTTCTGGAAGACTCAACCCTTAATTTATTTTTATAAAATTTTAATACATATAAGGGTCTCTAGAAACATAAATATACAGATGTACAAATAAATAGAAACAGAGATAGAGGTATGTTCGTGTATGCCTATGCTATTTCTGGGAATAATTACATCTCAGAGGAAGAACATGAGCATGAGAGAACAAAAGCTTATTTTTCTGTATACTTTTTTTTTACTGTTTTTTTTTTTTTTTAACCATTGTACATATTGAAACAGACTCCTGAAATTAAGGGCAACTTCCTGATATAAGAATTAAAGCTCCAAATGTTTTAACTTCTACATTTCCTCACACAGAGAACAGAAACTACCCCTTGATCAGCCAGGTGCCATTGACGTTTTCCCTAACACTGCCTGGCTAAAACTACCTACTTCCTGCCTTTGGTCCCACTCTTCATTCTCTTCTTTTATAAAAGCTTTCACAGAGTTTTCTGAAGCTGTGACTTAAAACAAAATGTTTCCTCTATCTTCCTTCAAATCTGGTATTGAATAAAACCTAATTTCCTACCAAATCGACTCCCAGTGTTCGAGGTACATGAGGAGCGGTCAAACCCAACCTCTTACCCACAGGTGGTATCAATATATTCTCATAGGAAAAAAAAATCTTTTTGAGTAAAAATTGTTAATTATCCACCCATAATCTGATCACTATCTGCAAAACAAAATTAAAAAAAAAAAAAACTGTAGCAGACCCCATATTCAACAGAGAAAGCCTAAATGCATTTACCTTTAGAAACAAGACAGGGGGCCAGGTGCAGTGGAACACCACGTAATCTCAGCAACTCAGAAGTCTGAGGCAGAATTGAAAGTTCGAGGCCAGCCTTGGCAACTTAGTGAGACCCTCAGCAAGTTAGTGAGGCCCTGTCTCAAAATAAAAATTACAAATAACTGGGAATGTAACTCGATGGTAAAGAATCCTTTGAGTTCAATTCCCAGTACAAAATATAAAATAAAATATAAAAATAAAAATACAAGGAGAGCACTATTCATAATTATTTCGGGATCTTTGACAGTGCAATGAGGAAAATAAAATAAGAAATAAAAGATAATTAAGAAATAATCAAATCTGTCTTTATTTGCCTATGACATTGGTACTGGTGAGGTGTCCAGTCAGAGTCCAGCTTTTTGAAGACTCAATAAAGAATTAAAGAAGACAAACAGAAGTAACAGGCAGAACACAGATTTATTGAAAGTGAAATTGAAATTAACACTAGGTAAAGTAGAGTAGAGGCAAGTGGCTCAAGGTCCCTAATATCTAAAGGAGTATTGTCCTATGTGCTGAGCTGTGCTTCGGTCCTCTCCACACAGACCTGATTGAAGACCTCGTTCCATTTGTTACCATTGGAAGAAATTTTCATCTAATTGGAATATAGAGCCTGTGGAGGGAGTTGCCAAGGCAATAAGCTCTCAGAGGTGGGAGTTGTCATGGTAATAAAATTTATTGTAAACAGGGACATGATGACTCATCCCTCTGTCTTGTACTCCAGCTGGTTTTTTCTCTTATATCCTGCCTCACTGAGGTCCCTAAACTCCTACCTCAACATGAATGTATATACTGACATACAAAAAAAATTAATAATAATAACAATAGTAATAATTTTTATTTCCTTTTTGGTCAATTTTAAGTAACAATCAGAATTAATAAATAAAATTAGCAAATTTCTGAATGTAAAATCAATATACAAAAATCAACTTTCAAGTGAAGGGTTAAGAGGCGGACCCGGGTGGCCAGCTGGGCTCAGAGCAGAGCAGGGTCAGGATGGACCAGGACATGTTGCCCACTTTGAAGATCCTCATCATTGTTGAGTATGGGGTGGGCAAGTCCAGACTGATCTTGAGGTTCACAGATAATACTTTGATCCAAAACTTGCAGCAAAAATAGGTGTTGACTTTAAGGTGAAAAATATTGGCATCACATCAATATTAGCATCAGATCCACCATTTTAGGTTGGGAGCCATTTTATCTAGAGATTCTGAGGCAATACTGCTTAGTTCCCCATAAGAACGTGTGCCTGCTAAAAGGTCAACCCCACCCCAGCCCGTGACACAACCCCTAAGCGTGCTTGTGAAATTCCTCTTGCAGGCTATAAAGCTAGCCTGTGAGTGCCAACATGTTGCTGCCCTCCTTATTGGTTTACTCCATGCTATGACAATAAATCCCTTGCATAAGATTCTGGTGTATGGTGTGGTCCTTGGACTTTGAGTGGACTTGGTGAGTGTCCTTTCAAAAACAATTTCAGTGGATGGAAATAAGACTAAACTTGCAATATGGGATACTGCTGGTCAAGAGAGGTTTAGAACATTAACTCCCAACTATTACAGAGGTGCACAGGGTGTTATATTAGTTTATGATGTCACAAAAAGAGACACCTTTGTTAAATTGGATAATTGGTTAAATGAATTGGAAACTTACTGTATAAGAAATGACATAGTAAACATGCTAGTTGGAAATAAAATTGATAAGAAAAATCGTGAAGTTGGTAGAAATTAAGGCCTGAAATTTGCACGAAAGCATTCCATGTTATTTAGAGGCAACTGCAAAAACCTGTGATGATGTACAGTGTGCCTTTGAAGAACCTGTTGAAAAGATCATTCAGATGCCTAGACTATGGAAAAGTGAGAACCAGAATAAAGGAGTCAAATTGTCACACCTGGAAAAAAGCCATGGAGAAGGAGCCTGTGGTGGTTATTGTTCTGTGTTATAAACTCTGGGAAATTCCTTCTCTTGAATGTTTGATCAGATAGTGACCTCTTTCTATATATAAATGCTAACTGCTATTTTAGGCACCTTGCAATTTGCACATAATTGTTTTGTATCATGGCAGTAAATATTTGCAAGAAATCCTACTCATCGGCTTTCCCAGGTAAAATGTTATGGTATGCATGCACAGTTTGCAATCTACAGTTTTATATGTAACACAAAATAAGTGTGCCTTTATGAGTACATTTGATTTTATGATTTATATTTGTCAGGTAATTTTTTTAAACATCCATCTGTCAATACAGGGTCTGCTGCTTTGTTTTTATTTTTGTTTTTGATTTACTCTCTCTTTTTCTTTTCTTTTCTGCTTAATATTCCTGTCGATTACTGAATTGCTTGGTATGTAGAAAGAACATCAGAACAATGGGAAGTATACAGGTATCATTAAACCTGTTAAATTTCCTTTGATGAATAACAAAGAGCATGATTTCACAGCTTTTCTAGGATGTCTGAGATTCTCCTATAGTACTAAGCAAAATTTTCAGTACAGAATGTAGCCCAAGCCAATTAATAATTAAATCTCTATTTGTTCTGATGATGCTTCTAAAATAGTACTGATACATTAAAGAAGTTTGGTATTACTTTGTAATTTACTTAATTGATTAGCTCAGTTGTTTAACTGGATTTTTGATCCTGTGATATGTACATTGGATTCATAATCCTTTGTGCAGTGCTTTTAGTTATATTGCATTTGGCATAATGGCAATAAGGTTTCCTTCACTGGAGTTTCAGAAGGACATAAATAGTGTGTTTATCGTAACTACTTTAGTACTTACCGCTTTTAAAACCATCTTTTTTCACACGTGTTGGTAGCATTTGTCCAGGTACCTCAGTGTAGCTTGTGCAGTATTTATGAATATCTGTATTTTGTGACCTCCATAAATAGCTTACTGATATTCAAAAACCTATTTCTGTGCTTTGAGGGGTAGGAAAGAAAAAAAAATACTAAATGACAATTTGAGAAAGGCATACTGCTTCCAAATTCTGACCTGTGTGGGAAAATGCTAGTGTAATGAATATCTTAATGATTTATTGTAACAAGTAACCAATAGTTTATCAAAACCAACTTATGGACATTAATATATATTTTCTACAATGTTCAGTTTTCTAACCTCATGTTATTGCAAATTGTATATTTTTCTCCATCCATGTTATTTAATTTATATTGATCTCTGCTATTTTAAGCTCCCAAATAATATGTCCTTTAAGGGAAGTCAATACCCCACAGTAAGATTCTGATATTAATTTCTTAGCAATTTAATCTGTACAATTATAAATGATAAACATTTTTGTGAACCTTTGCAATATATGTTAATGAATTTACTTCAAGTTGGGTTCTTTCTGAAATATACATTCTCACATGTGAAAACCTCACTTTCTACTTGGTTTACACTTGTTAGTCTACTTAGGATTAAAGATTTTATACATTCTGTAAATTTCACTAAATACAAAACATTTACTTCTATAATGTTATAAAAAGGTAGTAGTGAACTGTGTACTTATGATTTGTTCATGTTACATTAAACTTTAGATTTGTATATTTATGTAGTCTGTATTGACAAAGCTTTTCTGTGTATTACTTTTCACTCCTTGAGTGACATAATAATCTTTCTGTGAAATGGATTGTTATTTAGATTTGAACAGAATTTTCATACATATGAGTGACTCGTATATAACTTTAAAAATCAATTTTGTTTGGTAGATTTATGTTGTAATCTTTTGTAGTTTTTGAATAAATATAGCCTGCTTTCCCTAAAAAAATCAACTTTTAAAACATATTAGTAATAAATAATTAAAAACTGAATTTTAAATATCCATTTAAAATAGAACAAAAGATATCAAATTCCTAGGCATAAGTGTACTTTCATAACAAAACAACACATGAATATTGTCCTCATTTCCATTCACTACTGTACTTGTAAAATATAGCACTTTGGCTCCAAGTCAACTCCTTTCCAGCCAGTCCCTCTACAGTATTGTCACTGATTTTCAAGTACAACCATGTAAATACAGTCAATAAAATTTAAAGAGGAGTCTTTTCAATAAATGATGTTGAAACATCATAATACCATCATGAAAAAAATAAAACTAACTCATACCATATATTATAACTGATTTGAAATTTACCAAAAATTTTTTTAAACCTCACAGAAAAATAAAACATAAAGCTTTCAAAGGAAAACATGAGAATCTTGTTTCGAATTTCTGGTAGTAAAAAATTAAACAAGATAAAGTAAAAACAAAAGTTGATAAACTGACTTTATTAAAATGAAAACATCTCTAACTAAGACATCAAGAACAGTCATGTGAATGAACAAGCAAAGGTCTCAGACCCAGAATATATTTTTTAAACTCAATTTAAAAAAAAAAAAACCTAACATTATTTTTAAGTAGGCAAAAATTGAACTGACATATAAAAAGGTAATACCCAGATAGCTAATAAACATAAGAAGTGTCCAGCGTTATTATTTTTTTAATTTTTTTTCGTAGTTGTGTATGGACAGCATGCCTTTATTTAATTTGAATGCCGTGCTGAAGATCAAACCCAGTGCCTCCCACACGCTAGGCAAGCGTTCTGCCACTGAGCCAAAGCCCCAGTCCCAACGTTATTATTTAGCTGATTTTTTTCTATAGTGGGATTAAACCACTTTACTTTTTATTTTTTATTTTGAGACAGCGTCTTGACAAGTTCCTGAGACCCCTGCTAAGTTGCTAAGTCACTGAGGTTGACCTCGAACTTGTGATTCTCCTGCCTCCACCTCCTGAGTCACTAAGATTATCAGGCAAACACTATCACACCTGGGTATCTGGTAGTATTTAGAAGCCTAAATAAATGCTTGTCCTATGACCCCATAAATTCACATCTAGGTATATATCCAAGAGAAATAAGTGTATATTCCAAAAGATGTTCATTTTCAAGAATTTTCATACCAACCTTATTAATAAATGCAGAAGCTGAAAACAAACCAAATGAATGTCTATTAAGAAAATAATTGATAAGTACATTGCTATACATTCATACAAAAGAACACATACTAAGCAGCAATAACCAAATACAATGCTATAGATTAACCACACATGACACTCTACATTGAGTAAAAGAAGCCAAGCACTAAAGTAAGTGTGTTGGCCTGGGGGTGTAGCTAAGTGGTAGAGCATATGCTTTGTATGAGCAAGGTCTTGGATTCCAAAAATGCAAAATAATATTAATAATGAGAAGGGAGAGGAGGACGAGTGTATGTGCTACTTAACATTTATAGGAAATTCAAGAATGACCAAATGCATCCGTGATGATAAAAGTAAATATAGTAGATATTTCCAGGAAGAGGGTAAGAAATAGTATTTACCGGGCAAGAATAGGCATGAACATTCTTAAATGAAAATTATCATTCTTAAATGACCCACCTCAGTCTAGGTGGTGGTATATAACTCAATTCATTTCAAATAAGAAAAGTTCATTGAATATTTAATACTTGCACACTTTATTGTTTCTTATTTCAATTTAAAACACCAATGCAGTGTTTTTCCATTTGCCTACATTGTACTGATTCCCCACACTCCCTATCACATCCTCAATCTATAAATGTTCTATCCCATTAATGAAAGCACAATTCTCTTCTAAACTTTAATTCCTTTTATTACCTCCTGATTGAACAGAATGATTCCAAAGGAAAAAACTAAACTTTTGTCCAACTTATACAAACTTTCCTTTTTTCTAACAGAAGGGAACTTTACTAAGAAAAGTCCAAATATCTTCACGTCATTTTTTCAAAAAGAATTGTTATTACTAATAATGTGTTCAGACCAAAAAAAATGTCCTTCAGATTTTATTAAGCAGTATTTCTATTTACCCCGTGCTGTGAATATGTGACCTGTGCTAAGACCATCTTTTTCCTTTATGCCCTACTATTAGAAGATCACAGATATGGGGCTGGGGCTGTAACTCAGTGGTAGAGCACTTGCCTAGCACATGTGAAGCACTGAGTTCTATCCTCAGCACCATATAGAAAGAAAGAGAGAGAGAGAGAGAGAGAGAGAGAGAGAGAGAAAGAAAGGTAAGTATTGTGTCCATCTACAACTAAAATAAAATATTTAAAAAAGAAGATCACAGATATACGCAGTGCTTCAAAATATAATGTTACCTTGTCTCTCCTAATAGCTAATTTGTTCCTATGACTCAACTGGCTCACTTACATTCAAAGCTTTCTATTACTAAGCTATCTTATGCAGAGCCTTGAAGTGTGGCTGCACATTCTATCTCCATAGTCTAGACATAATGAATGAAATTTATATCCAATATCTTGCAGTAATGTAAATCTGCCTACCTCTTCCTTAGGAGATCTAATGAAATAGTCAGAGACCATAGGACTCTGCAGATCATCTCAGTAAGTGTGGATGCTTGATTCCACGTGAAACCTAACATGATCCCTATTCTCACACCCCCTAAATTTTAAAACATACTTTTTTTGCCAAGACCAAATCAACCAAATTTTTCATCTCCAACACTCTTTCAAAAAATGTATTCCAAAAATTAATCCATGAAAAGTTGTACTGCATCACTGGGGAAAGAATTAGATTACTTTAAAAGCCCACAGCAACTTTTGAACTGAAATTGGTAGTGATAAAATAGGAAATCAGAGCTTCAGGAAAATAGAGTGAATTTGGATTAAGATTGAAGGCATGGATTTCAGTCCCAGTTCTGGCAGAAAGACAGGTGTGTCCATGGACAATACAAAATACTTCTGAATTCTCTATGTGTGATGTGCTATAGGAAGTGGCTGTATTAAATGACTTCTTAGGCACAGTAGAGATTAATTGCTCTATGATTGCAAAAAAATTATTCTTGTAAAACAGAGTGATTGGAATAGTTGGGTGGGTAAATCATTGAAGGCACATTTATTGTGCCTAAGAACAGGATTTAAGTTTCCTCTAAGTAGAGGGCAGAAAACACCAGATTGTTTCTTTCACTAGATAAAGAATTACTATGATAAAATTTTTGAACATCTTTCCCAACCCCTTTCAAGAGAAGATTTTTCTGCTCAGGGTTTTCTTCAGGGCAATTTTGACATCCTTATTCCTCAAGCTATAGATTAATGGATTGAACATGGGTACCACAGCAGTGTAGAAAATGGAAGACACCTTTCCCTGATCCAGAGGCAGAATGGAAGGTGGTTTGAGGTACATAAAAGCTCCTGACCCAAAGAAAAGAGATACCACAATAATATGGGAACTGCAGGTACTAAATGCTTTTGACCTGCCCTCAGTGGAGCTAATGTGGAAAATGCTGGAAAGAATAAAACCGTAAGATATAAAAATGGTAACAATGGGCACCCCGATGCCAATGGTCACAACAATGAAGACCACTAGCAAATGTACATAGGAGCTATTGCAGGACAGCTCAAGGAGTGGTATGATATCACACATATAGTGATTGATAAGGTTGTCTGAACAAAAGGTTATAAACATTAAGTTTACCATGTGGGCCACAGCCCCAAAAACTCCCATCCCATAAACACCCCACAAAAGGAGTAAACACATCTGGGGAGACATGGTGACCATGTACAGCAGTGGTTTACAGATGGCAACATAACGGTCATATGCCATGGCTGATAAGATGTAGGATTCAGAAAATACAAAGAAACAGAAGAAAAAAAATTGAGTCATGCACCCTGCATAGGAAATGGTGTTCTTCTTTGAGACAAAACCTACCAGCATTTTAGGAGTGAGGGTGGTGGAGTAACTGAAATCAATAAAAGACAAGTTGAGGAGGAAAAAGTACATGGGAATATGCAGGTGCGAATTCAGCCCAATCAACATTATCAAGCCCAAGTTCCCCACTACAGTGACCACATAGAAACCGAGAAACAGGAAGAAGAGGGGGATCCGGAGTCCTGGCTGGTCCGTTAAGCCTGCAAGGATGAACTCTGTCACAGAAGAGGAGTTCTCTGCAGCCATGCTCCTCTAGGAGGGTCTGTGAGAGGAAAAGAAGCAAGTCACTGAGAGAGAGAGATAGAGAATCTACACACCATGGAAGTTTCATGGAAGTGAAAGGAGTGGAGGGAAAAGAAATACTTACTGAACACTAACTATGGAATAGGCACACTTCTAAATGCTGGGTGGCATTATACCTGTCCTAATTTTATAGATGATGTAAAGGGAGACCTGAGTGACTTGCACTAAGTCCCAATGCTACTGAGTTGTAGCAGCAGGTCAACTCCAGCCATCAGACTCCTGTGCTTTGAGCCTCTACTGCAGAATACAGTGGTCAAGAGGAACTCACCCCTTTCCGCTTGGAGCCACACTGCTGCTCTCTACTGTCTCCCATTCATCTCCTTCATGAAGATACAAATGGTCCTGTGGAGAAAGGGTGACAATGTGGAGCTCAGGTCTCAATACTTCCACTTCTCCACTCTCAGGATTAAAACCTCTAGTTTATCTTGTTTCTCTTGCTGAGATGAAGAACATGCATTCTGGTTTTGCCTTTGTCCTGAGGCTTCTGTCCAGCTTCCAGGGAAGGGACAACAGCCTTTATGAACACTATGGATGACAGGAGACTAAAGAGTTTTATTCTGGATCAAAGATCTCAGTAAGCTAGTTAAAGAAGCTCCCATAGGACCATTGCCCCAGAGTCTACCCTCCCCAGAAAAGAAAAAAAATGTTCATTCACACCCTTGATAATGCTTCACCTGGCTTTTAATGACCTGTTCTTTCCTTCATTATACTTTTTTTAAGAGAGAGAGAGAGAGAGAGAGAGAGAGAGAGAGAGAGAATTTTTTTAATATTTATTTTTCAGTTTTCGGTGGACACAACATCTTTTATTTTTATGTGGTGCTGAGGATCGAACCCAGCGCCCCGTGCATGCCAGGGAGCACGTTATCGCTTGAGCCACATCCCCAGCCCCCTTCATTATACTTTTTAAGTATAATGAAGAACAAAACACTATGGGAAAAACAATTCTCACTAGCTTGTATTGAGAACTTACTGTGTACCAAACTCTGTGTTATGGACACCCTTATATGTACACCAAGTATCTAATAAAAGTATACAAATAATTTTACCACATTTACTACTCACAACAATTTCACCTGTTAATCTTCACTTCTGAAATAAGAAGCACAGCAAGGTAACTATAGCCATTGACAATACATTTTATTCTTGAAACATGAAAAAGTTTTAAAATATATTAAGTGCTTTCACTACAAAAATGGTAAGTATGCGAGGTAATGCATTTGTCAACTAGCTAGATTTAATTATTTCACAATGCATATATACTTCATATATATAATATATCATATATATCATGTTGTATTAGATAAATACATACTATGCCATCAATTTTTTTAATTATTTTTTCAGTGAAATGTGCATACAGCTAATAGATTCAGAATTCTGAATAAGCCCTGGTCCTTCTAATGCCAGTGCTCATGGTCTTAATCTTTAGCTACACTTCCTCCCTGTGAGTGATAACAAATTGTCTAAACCAACACGTTTACTTACAAGGAACTGTGAGACTCATGATAGATAAAAAACAAGTGATTTTTAAAGGAAGTTGAAAAGTGTTAGAGGCAGGAAGGGTCAAATTCATTATTTCACTCACATCAAAGAATTCTTCTCCAAACTCAAAAAAATGGAAACTTTTATTTCCCCCCCACTGCCTACTCATGCAATTTTATCTTGGTGATTAAAAGCAAATACTTGCTAGGTAACTGTTTCAACCTTTGTCAATATCTGGAGTCCAGCTAGACAGAAGGGAATGAAGGGAGGGGAGAGGGTGTGGGGGTAGGAATGGTGAAGAATGAACCTGACATTATACTCTATGTTCGTATATGATTACATGACCTGTGTAACTCTACATCATGTACAATAAAAAGAATGAGAAGTTATATACTCCATTTATGTATGATGTGTCAAAATGCATTCTACTGTCATGCATAACTAATTAGAACAAATAAAACGTTTTTAAAACTGTCTGAAGTCCAGGAATTGAACCCTATAGCAAGTATGTCAAATGATGAGGAATGAACAAAAGACATTAATCAAGAATGATATTCCTTCAACAAATACCTATTGCACATCTGCTGTGGCACCAAAAACTTTTCTAGGTCTTTGTGTCTTCAATGGGGAAAAAAATCTGCCCTCGTGGAGCTTTCATTCAAGTGGAAGAAAGAAGTTAAACATGAAACACATGAAAAGAAAAGGAAAGAAAGGAAGAGGGATTGAAAAACAGGGATACAGATTTCTATTTTAAATAGAATTAATCTGACAATTGAGCAATGACTTGAAAGAGACTTAAAAAGCATTGCTTAGTAAGATCAGTTATTCTACTAAGACATCAAGCATTCATGGGTTAACACAAGATCTGTTCAAGACATTACATTTTTATCCTGCACTTTAAATAAAATAGATTAACTCGAATTACTGGCTCTGAAGGAGAGACTCTGAATGTAGGAAAAGGATAGGGAGCAAGAGACTGAGAATTTAGAGAATCACAAGTCACACCAAGTAAGTTGACTAAGACTGATAAAGCTTTGTGCAGCAATTTGCATTCTATTCCTTATCAGGGCTTTTATATATGAAGGATGACAGATTTCACAACCAAGAAAAAAAATGTCTATTTGGGAGAATCACAGCCTCAGATAGCAAATGGTATGTACATATTTTGGTCAGAATTAAGGGCTAGAGTCCACTTGGAGAAGTTACAAAATTCTAACACAAAGAAGGAGGTCCATCTTCTTCCAGACAAGTCCACCTAAAATCATTGCACGTATTTTGGCATGTGTATTTTTTAATACGTGTACATATAATAATGAGGACTTGCTCTTGTTCACTCTCAGCTCAGTCTCAACAATAATGGTGTCTCCTTGGCCAACTTACACTTAGAACTGTCCACATCCCAGTGGAACTCTAATGAATTCCAATCTTTGTTCTCAATCCCACTACACATACTTAGGAAATAGAGAAAAACAAGCCATTATCAAAAAATTAAGCCCCATAAGACAATCTTTCCTTGAGACTCACAGGCAAAGAAAACCTTGGGGGCTTATTAAAAGTTCACTTGCCTCTAGAAGCTTTACATGGTTGTTATATACATGATGAAACACCAGAGAAAAAGTTATTTTGCAGCTTTTATCACTTCAGAAATGGTTTCCATGGGAACTTCATTTTCAATGCATCAGGGTTTTATTTCAAGTGAACCAAGGCGCCTCTAAACCTTTTTACTGTTGAATTGCTCCAATATAAGCAGAGGCAAGCAAAGAAAAAATATTGCTTATTAAGTTACATTGGATGAAGAATGTTTCTTTTCCTAAAATTTGAATCTCTGTGATATCGCTTCCTCATTCTATTTATTGCTAACATTAAAATATGTGTGAACTATGTATTATAACATACCCATGGGTATGTATGATACAGTGTTTTTGTACATATGGTGTGTACTTTAACCCCCAAATGTCTGGTATGCCATCAAATGACATTTAGGTGGTGCTGAAGGCAAATATCCTCGGTTCCACAGAAGAAAAATCCAAGAACAAACCACATTTTCAATAAAAAGAGTCAGACACCCTTTCCAGAGAGAAAAGATAGTAGCTTAAATGTCCTCATTTGGAATGAGTTTAGCTGAGCATAAAGCTGAGCATTTGGAAAGACTTTACTGAGTGGTTGAGTACTTACCCGTCAGGCAAAGGCCCTGGGTTCAATTCTCATCACTGCTAAAAAAAAAAAAGAATGGATGAAATCACTTCAGTAAGGCTCTAAGGAGGGGCATAAAATTAAATCCTTCTATAAGAAGTCATTGGCTAGGGATATATAGGGATATAGCTCAGTTGGTAGAGTGCTTGCCTCACATGCATAAGGCCCTGGATTCAATCCCCAGCATGCAAAAATAAACAAATAAATAAAAGTCATGCAATATGCATTATAAAATTTAATGAAATTTTTTGGGGGGTGTGTACTAAAGATTGAACTCAGGGGCACTTGGCCACTGAGCCACATTCCCAGCCCTGTTTTTTGGGGGGGGGGGGGTGTTTGTTTGTTTGTTTGTTTGTTTTTTGTATTTTATTTGGAGTCAGGGTCTCACTGAGTTACTTAGCACCTCACTTTTGCTGAAGCTGGCTTTGAACTTGCTGTTGTCCTGCATCAGCCTCTGAAGTGGCTGGGATTACAGACAGATGCACTGCAGTTTTAACACGTATATTTAGCATAATAAAATATTAATAAAGGGATTCAGAAGATATGGTTGGCTTCCTAAAGAGGTTTACAGTCTAATATAGACATGTCCCATCTATCTTCTTTTCAATTTTACTCACTTTGTGTTTCAAAATTCTCAGAGTTCAGTTCTTTTCTTCCTTATATTTTTGGTGATATTATCACATGACTTGAAAAACTTTCTCTGTATTTTTTATTCCTAAATTTGTACTCATCTTTCTGTTAATTCCTTGTCCTATAAGTATGACCTGTCTATGAAAATGTTTCAGTATGATTCCCTGTTGTCACCTGTATTAGTCACCTATGTATCACTGTGACAAAATATCTGAGATGAACAACTGAAAAGAAAGATTGATTTATTTTGGCTCATGGTTTCAGAAGTTTCAGTCCATATTCACTTGTCTTTGTGTTCATGGTCCTGTAGTGAGGCAGAACGTGGTAGAGAATACATGGTAGAGCAAAGCTGCTCACCTCATGGCATCTCAGAAGAAAGAGTGAGGAAGGGGCTTGGGACAAGATATACCTTTCAAGGACACATTTCCTGTGGCTTATTTCCTCCAAGGAGGCCATACCTCCTGAAGTTCCACCACCTTCTAATATCCCATTAATCCATTAGATTATTCAATTGAAAAAGTCAGAGCCCATATTATCCAATCACTTCCCAGAGGCCCAACCTCTGAACTGCAGCTGCATTGGGGATCAAGGCTTCAATACATAAGCTCTGGAAGAACATCTCAGCTCCAAAACATAAC